TAGCTGTTGAATTGGTGTCAAGATTAGTCAAGAAAAAGTAAAAGCAGAGGATTATTCAGCGTATTCTGTGGGAGCTCATTCCACTATAAGTAAAACAAAATGGAAACCACAAATGATTCCCTATGGGTGTGTTTTCTTGCTAGAAAAACTGATATGGTTTGGATGTTTGTCCTCTCCAAATCTCATGTTGAAATGTGATTCCCAGTTTGGAGTTGAGGGGGTCCCAGTGGGAGGTGACTGGATTGTGGAGGTGTGTCCCTTATGAATGGTTTAGCACCATCCCCTTGGTGATACGTGAATTTTTGCTCTGAGATCTGGTTGTTTAAGTGTGTGGCAGTGCCCTGCTTGCTCTATTGCTCCCATTCTTGCCATGTGACATACTGGCTCCCTACGCCATGATTGTAAGCTCCTTGAGGCCTCACCAGAAGCAGATGCCAGCATCACACTTCCTGTGGAGCCTGCAAAACCATAAGCCAAAAAAAGCTCTTTTCTTTATAAATTACCCAGCCTCAGATATTCCTTTAAACAATGCAAGAAGTGACTCACACAGACTTCAGGGAGCTCCAATTAAATGGCCTTGGCCCTATATCAAAAGATAGATGATAAATGTACACTTACAGATTTTATTTTAAATTGAAGCAATTAAGGTATGGGCCTAACTCCCCTCTCCCAAGACACTTTGTATGTTTCCAACCACTGGTCTTGACCTGGTCAGAGGGCGTGTTTTGTTTGTTTGTTTGTTTTGTTTTTTGTTTTGTTGTTAAGTGGCCAATTCCCAAACAACAGCTAATTCCTTGGTCTGTCACTTGGGCTGGACTGCAGTGGTACGATTTTGGCTCACTGCAACCTCCACCTCCCCAGTTCAAGCAGTTCTCTGCCTCAGCCTCCCAAGTAGCTGGGATTACAGGCACCCACCACCATGCCTGGTTAGTTTTTGTATTTTAGTAGAGATGGGATTTCACCATCTTGGCCAGGCCGGTTTTGAACTCCTGACCTTGTGATCCACCCGCCTCAGGCTCTCAAAAGTGCTGGGATTACAGGCTTGAGCCACCGTGCCCGGCCCGGAATGGGTTGACTTTCTTCTGGAATGTGTGCACTTGAGGATTTCAGCCTGTCTCTCAAAATGTTAGTAAAAGACTAGCCTCTCACCAAATGCACCACACAGAGGCAGTGGCCCCAGAAGTTGCCGAGTGGCAAGTGGAGACTTGTCTCTGAGTAAGAGACAGCCTTGAATAGTCAGGAGCAGGGCAAACATTGTGGGGCTGATCCAGGAAACCCTGAGTAGCACAAGAATGCTTGGCACCATCCAAAATCTCCCACCACTCCAACTGTGGGTCCTGAGCCTAAGCCATGTAATATTAGAAAAGTAAAAGCCTCACTGGTTTTGGAAAGGTAGTGTAAGGCCAGATAAGAGAGGAATCAGGTGGGGACAGTGAGGGAACACAAATCATAATCTGTGATCTCCCTACAATTAGGAACAAAACACAAAACAAAACAATACTTCCTCTACTCCACTCCACTCGACTCCAGCTAGCACTTAGTTCTTCCTTGCATTTACTACTGCATATACTGCTGCATTTTGCCACCAGAGGGCAACAGTGTTTTTAAAATGAAAGATGCCTTGATGCACCAAGATCTCACAGAAAGAATTTCAGAGGGAGAAGAGGTCTTAAACATCATTTAGTCCAAAGGCTTTCAAAAATTTTTAAAGCTGCAACCCACAGCAAGAACTGCATTTCTCGTTGTGTCCTAGGTCATACATATATATCTGAAACACATTTGGAGACACTACTTACCCTTGCTTTTGCAATGCACTCTAATCTTTTCTAGCCTATACTATTTCATAGTCAACAGGATCCCACACTAAATTGACTTTATAACCCTGGTGAGCCCTTAGTTTGAAAAACTCTGACTTCATCTCAGCCTCTCATCTTACAAAGGATTGCACTGACCCCTAGAATGGGAAGGGATCCCCACTAGCTATACTTCTCTCCCCTACCTGGCTACCTGCTCGCTTCTCAGGGTCAGTTCTGGATGGATGATAGACGTTGTGCAGCAGCTGAGCACTCAGTCCAACAATGCACTGATTGGGTAGGATGCAAACCTGAGTTTGGAGACCAATCATGTTCTACTTATTTTTTTTGAGACAGAGTCTCAGGCTGGAGTATAGTGCCATGATCTCTGCTCACTGCAACCCCCGCCTTCAGGTTCAAGTGATTCTCATGCCTCAGCCTCCCATTGTAGCTGGGATTACAGACATGCACTACCACACCCGGCTAATTTTTGTATTTTTAATAGAGATGGAGTTTCACCATGTTGGCAAGGCTGGTCTCCAACTCCTGACCTCATGTGATCTGCCTGCCTCAACTTCCCAAAGTGCTGAGATTACAGGCATGAGCCACCATGCCTGGCCCATGTTTTACTTCTCCCCAGTGCTATGACTGCTTTTGTAATGGAGGCAGGAGTTTCTTATGACCACACTGAAAGCTCTATGTAGATGTGTCTGCGCTCTTTACTCAGGCAGCCAAGTGCTTCAAAACAGAGAATCTCAAAGAGGCCTTCCCTAATGACCCTATGTTAAATGTGAATCAGGCCACACTATCTAGCCCAGTTCCTGGCACAGAGGAAGCATTCAATACAGAGCTAATCGATAAACAGACTGCCCCTGAACTCACATTTTTATACTTTTCAACTGGCACTCATATCATCTTACATGACTCCTAAGACCACCTGACATTGTTGGCAGAACATGAATTATTTCCATTCCAAACAGGGAAATAGCCAGAGAAGACTTAAATAACCTTCCCCAAAGCCAATGGACTAAATGATGTTTAAGACCTCTTTAAGATTTATATAACGTATATAAAATACCCAGCCCCTGCCTCCTCATTGGAGCAATGCAGGGGCTGGGAATTTTTACTTTATTTACTCAGGTTTTGAGAGCTAGTTTGATTATTTTATGAAGGGTGTCAAGTATCTTATTTTCAAGGGGGTGACTAAATGCATGAGAATGCAAGCTATTTTATTATTCCTTTTAAAAATGGGTTTGGAATGGGGAAAAAAATCCCTGGGATTGAAAACTGGTGTACCTTAGAAATCTGAGTGAGCTTGGTTTTCTGTAGGGAATCCTGCCCCCGGTAACCAGGGAGCAAATCCAAAGTCCTCAAGGTCCATTACCTCACTGCCATGTTGTACTAGGAAAACTGAACTTTTTTGTAGCTCAGATAGCAAGGATCATTAAGAAAGGTGACAAGAATAAGTTGCTTCTTCCTTCCTTCCCTCCCTCCCTCCCTCCCTCCTTCCTTCCTTCTTTCCTTCCCTCCCTCCCTCCCTTTTCACAGGGTCTCACTCTTGTTGCCTAGGCTGGAGTGCAGTAGTGCATTCTTTGTTCACTGCAACCTCCGGGTCCTGGGGTCCTGGGCGCAAGCAATACTCCCATCTCAGTCTCCTGAGTAGCTGGGACCATAGCCCTGCACACCACCACACCCAGCCATTTTTTTTTTTTCTGTATTTTTGGCAGAGATGGTGTTTTGCCATGTTACCCAGACTGGTCTTCAACTCCTGGGCTCAAGCAATTCACCCACTTCGGCCTCCCAAAGTGCTGTGATTAGAGGTGTGAGCCATCATGCCCAGCCAGGTTGCTTTTTTCTTTATCTATTTTTTTAAGACGGAGTTTTGCTCTTGTTGTCCAGGCTGGAGTGTAATGGCAATATCTCAACTCACTGCAACCTCCACCTCTCTGGTTCAAGCTATTCTCCTGCCCCAGCCTCCGTAGTAGCTGGGACTATAGGCAAGTGCCACCACATCCAGCTAATTTTACATTTTTGGTAGAGACAAGGTTTCTCCATGTTGGTCAGGCTAGTCTCAAACTCCCGACCTCAGGCAATCCACCCTTCTTGGCCTCCCAAAGTGCGGGGATTACAGGCGTGAGCCACTGCGCCCGGCCAGATTGCCATTTTCCAGGAACACTTTGATTTAATCATTCAATAAATGTAGTCATGCCAGGTGCAGGAATAAATTTTGAAGAACGGAGGCTGAACTTCTTGAAGGACTTTCCAATGGTGTCTGCTACCAGGCGTTCGGCACTGTTAAATGAAAATCCTCCTGCCACACTTTAAAACTTCACCTATTTATTTATTAAATACATGCAGTACTCAATACCAGATTCTTCGAGGCTGTGTGTCTGCAGGCTTTGTGGAATATCTCGGGGTTGCAGAAGGAGCAACTTTGCTTTTGGGACAGACTTGGTGTAGTTCTGTAACTTTTGTATCTATGTGATGAAGAACGCAATATAGCTTCACACACACGATACCTACAGCCAATGCCGTGAAATCAGCAACCAAACAATGGGTTGCAAAGTTCTTATTCATTCAGTTCATATAGAACTCTGAGCCCCGGTTCACTCACTTCTATCGGATAAACGCAGACGCCAGCATTAGCAGATTTCTGCCGAGGCCTGCGTGTGAATTCCAACCACATTACTCTGAAGCCCTAGCTTGGCGGCCTGCGATTACCAAGAGATTGTCGTCCGCGGTGTGGTATCGCTACTGACTTAGATTTTGGAAATCCCGCCCAAGACTTTGGCTGCATGAATGCAGTCACTAGTAGGATGCGCGCACAATAACCACCCCTTAGCAACCAACTCTGGGTATCTCCAGATAAAATTAAATGTTGCTCTTTCAGCGTGTTCCTCAATTTCCCAAAGCATCTCGCTCCCAGGTATGGGAGCCGTCAAGAGCGCTGCCCTGTGAAAAATTTATGGCCTCATAAATGCTGGAAGAAATGAGCCAGCTTTCTGCAGTGCACCGATGGGCCCCTTCCACGCCCTGGGACACTTAGGGGGAGCCAGGCCCAGCTGGGATGGCTCGTGGCGTCGTGTCCACCGCACCTGCCCTCGCGCATCCGCCGCTGGGAGGGCGAGCGCGCGCACCCAGGTGTCACGCCCAGCGCCGTGCGCCGACAGCCCCGGCGCGCGCCCCGGCACGTCGCTCCGCACTCACCCACGCTCGGCCCTTCTGCACCTGGGCCAGCACTCGCAGCGCGCTGGGCGAGCCCGCCCGGAAGTTGAAGAAGTGCAGCGCCGCGCGCGCCGCCTGCTGCAGGAGCCTGCGCTGAAGCCCCGCATCCTGGGGCTGCCCCCGGTCCTCCGCGCTCTCGGACTCCGCGGCCGCCACCACCGGGACAAGCAACAGCAGCAGCGCGATTAGCGGGGCGGCGGGGCGCGGGCCCCAGGGCCCGGACCCGGGAGCGGGCGGCGGTGGCCGGCGGGGCTGCATGGACGCTGGAAAGTTGGCTCCACACCCGACAGACCCGGGCTCGGAGCCGGCGGTGCCGGTGCTCGCGGAAATAAGGCCGCGGTGGGCCCCTCCCCTCCGCCCCCGGGGCGAACGTCTGGAGCGAGCGGGTATCTCCTTGGGGCCGCGCCCTTTCCATGCTTCCCTCAGCCCTTGGGCTTTTTCTGCCCCTCCCCGCTGCCGCGGCTTGGTGCCAGGATGCGGCGGCGCCTTCGCGGCGCGGGGTCGAGTGTTTCCGGCCCAGACCGCGCGGGAAGAGGGAGGGGGTGGGGGTGGCGGGACAGTGGGGACACCTCCCCTGGGGGATCGCGGCCCGCCCGTGCTACCTCGCCCGGCACCCCTAGCCCAGCTCAGGGACTTGGCGTTTCCCCGGCGGTTTCGCAACCCTGGAGTTTTAGAGGAAAACTGCTTGGGTTCTCCAAGCCTTAGGGCTGTGATTTCCCAACAGGTGAAAGGTAACAGTCAGAGAGAAAGGGGCGGGCCGCACTGGGCATAGATGGGGCTCCTCGTGGCACAGTCACTGTGGAAGTGGGAGAAGTCAGGCACCAGAGGGATGGGGCTGGAGGGGAGGGTGAAGGACTCCGGTAGGGAGCCCAGGACTCCGGAGTCTGGCGGCTGGAGACGGGCCTGCCCAGGAGGCGAGGCGCTGAGGAGGGAGGAGTGGGCAGCAGGGCAGGGTAAGATAAGGCCTGAGAGTCCCATTGGTCTCAGAAGCAAGTAGGTCATTGATAACCCGGGTGGGAGGCAGATTTAAAGGCCGGGGGTGGAAGCCGGATTCCAGTGGCGTGAGGCATGGATGGGACTTCAGGGAATGGAAATGGAGGAATGGAGGCAGCAAGTGTTGGCAAGTGTTTTTTTCTTTGAGGCAGAGTCTTCCTCTGTTGCCCAGGCTAGAGTGGAGTGGCGCACTGTAACCTCTGCCTCCCGGGTTCCAGCGATTCTCCTGCCTCAGCCCCCGGAGTAGCTGGGATTACAGGCGCCCGCCACCATGCCCAGCTAATTTTTGTATTTTTGGTAGAGAAGGGGTTTCACCATGTTGGTCAGGCTGGTCTCGACCTCCTGACCTCGTGATCCGCTCGTCTCGGCCTCCCAAAGTGCTGGGATTACAGGCGTGAGCTACGACACCTGGTGGCAACTCTTTAGACAGGTGACAGTGAAGGGCTGAGAGAGCTATTGTTTTTAAACCACAGACAAGAGAAAAAGTGCTGGAGAACCAGGGCTCAGAGGGGAGAACTGGTACTGCTAGGCACTCCTGACATCCATTTCTCCATCCTGCATTTTTTCAGGGGTCTACCCCTGCTCCAAACCTGGACCCCAGTGCTGTTATGGGGCTAAAGGAAATCCCTTCTTGCCAGTGGGTGGTTGAGGCTGGGCATGTGCCAGTTCTGCGTGAGATGTGAGCAAAGCCTGCAGGCTGATGGACGTGGTACCATCTCTGTAAAGATCCTCTCTCACTGCACTTCTTCCTCTGGGTGTTGTCTGTCCCTCTCTATCTTTCCTTCCCTCTGCAGATAATTGTGAAACACCTACTCTGCCAGGCCCTGGGGAAATGAGGCTAAACAATCACAAACATCTCTGACTTCCTGGAGCACACTTTCTAGCCAGGTGGGGCCCAGACACTCAATGAGGCCAAGGGAATGTGCCCTATGTTGGATGCAGTTACATGCCAGGGAGAAAAATGAAGCCAGAAAAAAAGTGGGGAGTCAGGAGTTGGTTAATCTTAAAAGGTGGTTAGGGCAGGCCTGTATGGGGAGGTGATATTTGAGTGAGGACCTGAAGGAGGCATGGGAGCCAGGTGGACATGTAGGTAAAAGCACTGGAAGCAGAGGAGACACAAGTGCAGAGGCGGGGACAGGAGTCCATCTGGCATGTTTGAAGTTGCAGCCAAAGGCAGGTCGCAGGGAGTAGGTTGCCAGAGTGGAAAGAGAGATGACATGAAAGTCTATCTGGAGGGAGAATCCAAGGGGAAGAGTGCAGGTCCTTGATAGGTCCTGGTTAAGTCTGGCCGTGCTGCCCAGAAGGGTGCCCTGGTCTTGCTGGCTGCCTGAGAATGCAGCCTATTTCAAGAGTGGCAGAGCAGAGAGAGGGGAGGGCCCTGGGTTCCTGATGGTATTGTTGAACACAGGAATCAGCTGATCCTGGAGCTTATTATTATTTCACTTATTTGAAGCTGGAGTTGCTGTTTCTTGCCCTCAGAGGCAGCCTAGCACAGATGATCACCTCCCAGAACCTAGTCATCCCCCCATATTGTGTTTTGTACTGAAATAATAGAATACGTGAGACTGGGTAATTTATAAAGAACAGATATTTATTTCTCACAGTTCTGGAGGTTGGAAGTCCATGATCCCGGCACCAGCAGGTTTGGTGTCTGGTGAGTGTTTGGTGTTTGGTGTCTGTCTCTGCTTCCAAAATGGGGCTTTGCATGTTTCATCCTCTGAAGGGGAGGAACGCTGTGTCCTCACATGCTGGAAAAGTGGGAGAGAACCCACTCTTATGACCTAAACACCTCACACTAGGCCCCACCTCCCAATACTCTTGCATTTGGAATTGAGTTTCAACATGAATTTTGGAGGGGACAAAAATGCCCAAACTAGAGCACCCTCCAAGAGGTTGTAGTAGCAGACTTTTTGAGAATTGATCACCTCCAGGTTTTATAAATTTTCCTCATTTTACTCGGCGCTTTGTCCCCATGTTAGACTGCTTTCAGCTGTATGTCATAGAAAACCTGATTAACAATGTGGACTATTTACTGGTCTGGAGTGGGAGATCTCAGTGTTTTTGAAAGACCTAGGCTCTCTCCATTTTTCTGCACAGCCATCCTCAGCTGGTTGACTTTTTGTCCATGGACTTGTAGCTTCATGGTTATAGAATGGCTGCTACAGCTCCAGACATCACATCATGTGCTGGAGTTGCAGCCAAAGGCAGGTGGCAGGGAATAGATTGCCAGAGTGACATGATGCACCTGTTTGTTTTTTGCATCAGGAAGAAATATTTTTCTAGAACCTCTTCCTATACCTTTCTTGCCCCCAGACCTTCCCTTATACATCGTCAGCCAGATCTGGGTTGCACTGGCAAAGCCTAGGCACAAGGGAGGCTGGCAAAGTATCTGTCGTTTATCAGAGTCAGTGTTCTGGTCTGTAAAATAGGATTAAATTTAACTGCATGGAACAAACACCTGAATGACATTGGCTTAAACAGGAGAGGAAATTATTTCTCACAAAAGAAGCTGTGCGGCAAAGGTGGGGCAGTAGACAATCTGTGGTTAGAACTGCAGATCCATGAGGTTGTTAGAGGTCCAGGCCTTTTCCAGATCTCTGCTCCCACATCCTGATAGTGTGTCCCTTGCCCTCAGGGTCCAAGATGGGCACTAGCCATCAGCAGGCTCCCTTTATGGATTTCCTAGAAGTCCTGCAGGGCACTTCTGCCTTGCATCTTATTGGCAAGAACTTAGTTGCAAAGGAAGCTGCGAAATGTAGTGTTTACTCAGGGTAGGCATATGCCAAAATAAAACTCAGAATTTTGTTACTAAGGAAGAAGACTGCATCTTACATTAGGTATCCTAGAAGCAGGTCCTGAAACAAAGACTGTTCCCAGAAGAAATGCTCCCAGAAGAAATCAGTAAGGAGCTAGAAGGAGGATAGCCATGCAAGGATCTCAGAGAGTTATATGACAGGTACGTTCAGCCTGACCTGAAGGGGAGCTCTCAACTGTAAACGATGCCTCTGAGATGTCCCTGCCCCAGGCAGGGTATCTGGGTTTCCATTCTTCTATGCCTGTCAGCCACTGGCTAAGAGCTACCCTCAGTGATAACCAAGGTACTTCAGTCTTTCTATAGGTGGGCACAAAAGGGAGTAGCACAAGAACAACCCTCCCAGAAGAGCTGCAGGAGCCTCAGGTCAAAAGCAAAAACTTGCTAAGTGAAAGGGTAGACTCAAAGAAAGGGATCCAGGAATCTCTGCAGAGCCCCAGTGGGGTCTCTGCAGGGGTAATGCCTAGTGGGAAGGAAGTAACCACCTCTGTTACTGAGGCAAGGAAGGGAAGGGCAGGAATGGCTGATAGTGGCCAACAGGCAGCCTGTGCAGCACGTGTGCAATTCCTGCCTCTGACGGTGAGAATCATGGAAAGTCAAAAGCAAGAGGGAAGACAGAAAAGACCAGGAGACCAAGTGCTGCTGTGTGAGCTCAGGGCACTCTTCCGAGGTTAGCTGTTTTAAATAGTGATAACAGTTACAATGGGGGCAAATTGATGCTGATCAGGAACACATATGTAGACATTTAGTTATGGTATTTATTTTATAATCAGGAATTTTCTAGAAAACAATATTTTCTTTGCTGGGGTATGTCCATATTCTTTGTCAACTTATGTGTGGGGTTGTTGGATTTCTGGTTGATTTGTAGAAGGTCTTTCAATATGAGGGAAATCAGGCCTTGATCTGTCATGGGTATCTGTATGTTTTTTCTCAGTTCATAGACAGATTTTGTGTGTACACGGATTGTTCTTCCTTGCCACATACTGTGTGGGGGGATTACATTGTTAACTGTCCACCACGTTCTCCAAAAGACCTATCATCATATCCCACCCCCCGCCCAGGGCTGCTGGAAGATTGTGCCACATTCGAAGGGAGGAAAGTATCAGGCAGCAGGTTCCGCCCTAGCCTCTGCACAGGAGCAGATGTGTCCCCACAAGGGGGTCCTGATATGTCCTGTTCCCTAGTTCCTTAGTCATTGCTTATGTTATCATGAGCATTTTAATTTAGAGAACTTAATTTGTGTTTAAGAAACCAATCCATATGTTTATTTCCACTTATGGATTGTAAACTCCTCCACGGCAGTGACACTGAATGTCTCGTTTTCTGCTGTGCATTCCCTGGAACAATGCCTGGCACACAATATGCACCAATATAATTTTTTTTTAAAAAAAATAATGAAGAGTAAAGGGCTATATCGTATATACAACTATAATGACTTTTAATCATATGAAAAGATAGTAGAGAAGGTGAGAGGGGAAATTGATATGACCTGTTTGGTGGGCTGTTTGCAATATCTATTGAAATTGGAAATGCATATGGCCTTTGACCCAGCAATTCTACCTTTAGGGTTTATAAGAACAATAAATCCATGCCTGTACATAAAGAAGTATGTGCAAGGATGTTTATTTCCACATATGGATCGTAAACTCCTCCACAGCAGTGACAGTCTTGTTTTCTACTCTACGTTCCCTAGAATGGTGCCTGGCACCCAATAGGCACCAATACAGATTTTTTTTTAAAGAATGAAGAGTAAAGGGCTGGGAAAACACCTGTGTTTCATAGTTGAATAATTATGGTACCTCCATAGAATGGAATACTGTACAGTCATGAAGAAGATTATATATATATAATATTTGAGATGGAGTCTGGCTCTGTTGCCCAGCAGGCTGGAGTGCAATGGTGCAATCTTGGCTCATTGCACCCTCCACCTCTCGGGTTTAAGCAATTCTGCCTCAGCCTCCCAAGTACCTGGGACTACAGGTGTGTGCCACCACACCTGGCTAATTTTTGTATTTTTAGTAGAGATGGGGTTTCACAATGTTAGCCAGGATGGTCTTGCTCTTCTGATCTTGTGATTTGCCCGCCTTAGCCTCCCAAAGTGCTGGGATTACAGGCGTGAGCCACCAAGCCCAGCGAAGAAGAGATATATTGAGGCGTGTGTGATACTGAACCATTTCTAAGGTATAATGTTAACAGCAAGATGTAGAGCAGGTCAAGTAGTAAGCTTCTGTTTGTTTAAAAAAATAATAATATACATAAATGTGGAAATATGCAAACACTGCCTCTGCAAAGGTTTGCAAGAAATTGCCAGTATAGAATGACAGAAAAACTCTTGCCATAGGCTCTCTTTTGTGGTGATTGCTTTTTTTGTGTGTGTGCAATGTATGTTACCTATTCTAAATAACTAAATAAATGAGGTGCTGTTTCCCAGTGCACTTCAATCAGTTTCTCCCATGGTAGGGAGGACCACCACAGGGGATTTACAATTCTATCTGCCCGCAGAGCCAGAGGAAGCCAATGGGAGCCGGCCTTGCTTGCTTGTGTAGTCCCAGCTTGTCCTCCTTTCTCTGAGTCTTACCTTGCCACAGTCTTGCCTCAGACCTAGTCATGTTTCCCCACATTGAAACTTCCAGGGAAGGAGCTGCTGAGCAAATTCATAGTGTAGTGTCAGTGGCTGCCATGGCTCACTGCATTGCTCCTCTCAGGAGTATTGTCATTTAAATAGGGACAAGGTCTTGAGCCAAGAGACCAAAGGTCTGAATGAACAGACTTGCAGTATTGGCTCCTGTGCCCTGTGCTAGGTAGAGGCATCCAGCATCCCCTAAACAGCCGTGCTTGCCCCCTTCTATCACCTTGACTACATAAAGAGGCCAGAGAGCAGGGAGAGGGCTCTGAGAGGCGTTGGCTGTTATTTTCCTTGTTTTAACCAACTCTGGCTGCTTTAGCAAAAGACCGCAGACTGGCTTAAACTAGAGAAATGTATTTTCTTATGGATTGGAAGCTGGGAAGTCCAAGATCAGTATGCTGGCTGACTCATTTCCTGGTAAGGTCCCTTTTCCTGGCATACCCTGGAACTGCGTGCTCACAGCAGACATGGAAGCAGCAAGCCTCCCGTGTCTCTCTCTTTTTTTTTTTTTTTTTTAGACGGAGTCTCACTCCTTCACCAGGCTGGAGCACAGTAGCGCAGCCTCAGCGCGCTGCAGCCTCCACCTCCCAGGTTCAAGCAATTCTCCTGCCTCAACCTCCCAAGTATCTGGGACTGCAGGCGACCACCACACCCAGCTAGTTTTCGTTTTTTAGTAGAGACGTGGTTTCACCATGTTGACCAGGATGGTCTGGATCTTTTGAGCTCGTGACCTGCCCACCTCTGCCTTCCAGAGTGCTGGGATTACAGGCTTAAGCCACCTCGCCCAGCCTGGTGTCTCTTCTTAAAAGGACACTAATCCCATTATAGGGTTAGTAATTCCGGTTAGACTTCAACTAACCCTAATGGTCTCCCAAAGGCCCCACCTCCAAATATCATCACAGTAGAGGTTAGGGCTGCAACACATGAACTGCGGGGGGACACAACTCAGTCTATAGCAAACCCCTCGCAGAGGGCCTGGGATATGTCTTCCCGGCAGATGAGAGGACTGGGCGTGACGAGACGAAGTGGTTGCCTGCAGAGAAAGAAGGGTATGGTGACACTGCCATCCTGGCTACCTTTGGCCACTCCAGCTTATGGAATGTAATAGGGCCCAGGAGCCAGTTCCCATGCACCTCAGGCCCCATATTCTCTTAGCCAAGCCCTGAGAATACATCAAGAACAGGTGAGGGCATGTGGACGCAGGTGTGGGGAACTCCCAGCAGCTGGCCCCTCTTCCTGCTAATTCTGCTCTGATTTCCACCTTTGCTGGCCTCTCCCCAGTGCTGCTGAATACACCTCATTCTGGTGGCCTGCCAGGAGGGAGACAGTGTGACGTGGTGGGCTCAGGACCCTATTTGGACAAGTAAGTGAGGAGAGCAGTTGGTGGAGTCTTGGAGGGAAGCTCTCTTGCTCTTCTGAGAGCGTGTGCTCTCCCCTCCTCTGCCGCGGTATGAGAGGAAGCCTGTGCCGTAGAAGTTGCTGATGCCGTCTTGCGTTTCCCAGGAAAGAATGATCAGGTGGCGTCGACTCAGTGGAAGGCAGAGATGAGGCCCGGAAAGAAACCAGGCCCCTGGGGGTGTTACTAGCCTACTGGACCATGACCCATCTGAGGCCTGCCCTGTCTCTAGACATTTTGTTATAAGAACCAGTAAGTCGATTTTACAGTTAAAGCCAGCCTGAGTGTGGTTTTGTAACAATGGTTGAAAATTCCTAATGGATTGCTGAGGCAGTTAGTATCGGCAGGAACCACAGAGATCTAGGGCTGCCTCGTACTGGGGTTGGGAGGTGGGAGGCAGCAGGGAGACTGTGCCAGGGGGTGGTGGAAGCCAAACACGGTCTGGGGACACCACAGCTGCTACGTGCCTTGGGACCACCATTATCTTCAAAGCCCACCAATTTTGGGATTACCCAGGTGGAGAAGGGATATTTCCCTTCACCAACAACTCCCAGCCATGGCAGTAATGCCTTGTCAGCCACAGGAGCTGGGCCAAGCCATGACCCCAGGTCAGAAGTGACTGCTCCCAGGCTGGACAAGCATCTGTTTCCATTTGAGCACCATCTCTTAGCTCCACAAGCTCTGCTGCCCTGTCTAAGGCTGTGAGGGAAGGCAGGGCTGGGGGGAGACAGGAAAAAAGACCATGGGGAAGGAGAAGGAATCCCCAAGATAGAGGCTTTAACCTACATCACGGATGAGAGTCACACCAGAGAAGACAACAGAATCACTGGGGTGGATGTTGTATTTTGCAAAGGAACCCTTAATTGAGACTCTTCTCTCTCCCTGCCCCTGCACTCACCAGTGTAAGCACCCACATAGGGGCTTGGAAAGCAAAGTTGATATCAGTTATTAGAAAAGATAAAAACATCTCCTCTTTGTGCATGAGTGTACTGCCCAAGGTACTGTCAGAAGCTTCCTCCTTCTGGATGTGCATGTAGAAGGATGTGCACACAGACCATCTCTGGAGGGACAAATCAGAACCGACTAACAATGGTTAGGGAAACGGAGGGGTGCTTGGGTCAGAGGGGCTTTCTCTAACTGTTAAGTCTTTGGGTTCTTTTCTGTTATCATTTGTAGGTAGCACAGTGGCTCAGAGAGTAGACTTGGAGCCAGGCTGCCCGGTTTGTAACCCAGCTTGACCATTGTGATCTGAGGTGAGTTATTTCACCTGTCTGTGCTTCTGTGGCACCTCCTACCTCACTGAGTTGTTTGTGAGGAGCAAACAGCTCACTACCTGTGTATATGTAAAGCATTTAGGACAATGCCTGGCACAAAGTAATGGCTATATGATTGCTATTATTATTATTATTATTGCCATTAACTTAAAAATTAGATACAATCTTGAAAAAATGCAGTCACCTGTGGATTTTTTTTTTTTTTCACAAAGGATGGGAAGGGATGGCAGGGACTGAAACCTGCTGGGCCACTAAATAAAATCTCAGCTATTACTTGTAGCCCCTGTAATCTAATCTTTCATTAGAACTATTTGCAGTTAAGAAAATAGGAACCTGTAATCATTTTTGGTCTTCCTCTTGGCAGAGGTGAGGTTGGGTAAGGTTGGCAAGAAGAATACTATGGATAATCCAGGCTTAACTATTGAAAACTGATTAACCAAAGCAAGGGTGTGACCAAGATGATTCTTATCTCAGAGCTTTGGAACCAGAATACTGGTGGAGAAAAGGCAGCTCTCCTGGTTCCCTGGGCCTGCATCTTGCATGCTCTGAGAGGGCCTCGTGTGCTCCTGAAGCCCTTGTAGGAAGGCACTTAACTATCCACAGAAAGAAGAGAACCCCTAATCAATAGAGTGAGCTGCGTTCCCAGAGCATTTGGCTTACTGGTCTCTCCTGTGAAGGTGCTTAGGACTCATAGGGGGAATTCACAGTGTCCTAAATATTGTGCCTGTAAGCCGCCTGGGGTTTATGTGGCTGTGTTGAGTCCCCAGCGATGGTATTTTGCTTTAGGAGCAAGACCCAAGGCTTGGAGCCTTCAGCATTATGCTCTCATCCCACCAGACTCTCAGCAGGAAGGCAAAGGCAGCAGTGCAGAGGATCCTAGAATCTGGATCTGGGCTGCAATGGAACAGCTAACTAGAGTTTTCTGAATCCATGAGATTAAAGAAGAAGCCTTTCCGGCTTGAATCTAGTGAGACTGAATTCTTTGGGGATGCGGAACTGGAGATGAGATTCTTTCTAAAAGAGATGCCACAGAAAACAGGCTGGTTGCATTTATTCCTGTCACCAAGGAAAGATTTCACATGACATAGTTTAGGTAGAGACTGACAAGGATGTGTTTGGAAGTGCCAGCACCAAAGGGGATAAGGTAATCAGCCCTGTCCAAGAGAGCTTTCTGATGGCAATGATCCATACCTGCACTAGCTGCATGTGGCTACCAAGTGCTTGAATTATGGCCGGTACAGTCTAAGGACGGAATTTTTAATTGTATTTAATTTAAATTGATTTAAATATATATATAGCCATGCATATTTCCATGTTGGCTGATGATTACTGTAGCCTACAGCACAGTTATAGACAACTAACTTTTCCCTATAACACTTTGGGAAGAGAAAGGGCAAGTAACATTTTGGAGAGCTGTGTTTCCGACATGATGCTATATGCTTTCTCTTACAGAAAAGTCTTGTTTAATCTCCACAAGTTTGAGAACTAAACTGGGTGCAGAGAGAAGTAAGTTGCCGAGGTTGCATCAGTAATAAGGGAGCAGGGGGGTGGATTCAAGCTCAGGTATGGCCCACCCAAGTACTGCTTGTACATTCCACAACTAGGGAGACTCTGGTGGACTTAAAGGTTTAGATTACAGCAGCAAAGTGAATTAAGGACCAGGAAATGTGGCTTTGTTGTTAGGGAAGTTGAGATTATTTCACTTCAAGAGAAGAATACTGAAGAAGACAGTTAATCTTTAAAACTACTTTCAAAGATTATTTCCTTTTCTTTTCTTGAGATGGAGCCTTACACTGTCACCTGGGCTAGGGTACAGTGGCATGATCTCAGCTCACTAAAACTTCCACCTCCCGAGTTCAAGCAATTCTCCTCCCTCAGCCTCCCGAGTAGCTGGGATTCCAGGTGCCCACCACCACACCTGACTAATTTTTGTATTTTTAGTAGAGATGGGCTTTCACTGTGTTGGCCAGGCTGGTCTTGAACTGCTGACCTCAGGTGATCTGCCTGCCTTGGCCTCCCAAAGTGCTGGGATTACAGGCATGAGCCATTGTGCCCAGCCTCAAAAATCATTTCTTAGAGAAGAACAGCAGCTGGCTGTCTCTGTCACCATTAGCGAACACTTCATTTTACTCTGGTTTACATGGGGGCTATGGAAGGATGTGATAAAGCCTTGTTTCTGACACCGGCACGTTTCTCTTTACATCCCAGGGAGCCTGCTTGGACTTCAGGCCCCTGTGCGGCTGACTCTGTAGTCCTGGAGGAACTCAACAGCCAGGGACTTAGGATCATTTGTGTGTGGCATTTGGGCTAACCAGACTGTTGGCTTTTAAAGAAGATGGAAAGCATCAGGTTTCCTATATTTAAATTACTTGGTGATCTCAATACTTGTTGTTAGCAGAAGTTCACAATGGAGACAGCCTATTTGCTCTACTACTCTTGATGTAGCCGTATTACTAAGCTTGAGCTGATTAACAGGACTGTTACACAATTCTGTGCCCCCCTTACTTATGGCATGAAGCAGTTCTTTTAAAACCTGCCATGTATTCACATTTAAAGCTAAAAGTAATTTAGATTACATGGTTTTGAGAAGCCCGTGTTGACACATAAGTGCCAAATGTATCAAAGTGAAAATGGTCAGTACCCCATGTGTTGGTTTTTGCAATTTTCCAAAGTAAGCCCTGATTTTTGGCATGTCATGCTAGTTAAGAACACAATGTCTTTATAGCTCAATTATACATTTTTCTGACAAATTTGGCATGGCATTTTGTTTTTCCATCAGTCACTTAAGACAGGACATTTGCCATTCCAAGAATGAATTAACACTCTTCTAAGTGATCTATAAACTGAGATGTAAAATAAATTGCAAATTGGGACGGTTTTAGTTTTTTAAGCAAAGGATATTTAAATAAAGCTTGAAATCATAAACCTTATTTCCTGCTTGAGAAGATGCTATATTCAATACAGAGCGAAATAAAGGTTTTAAAGTTTTTTTTTCTGGCAAGAAGAGTTAGAATCTTATGTTCTTCAAATAAAATTTCAAGGCAAATTCATAATACTTGTTAACATTTGTATGCCATGAAATTCTGGAGTGATCGATTTGTGCAGTTCTGTTTATGACACTGGCGTTCGCCAGTCAAATTTGCGCAGAGAGTGTTATCAAGGCAAACCAAAACCACCTCCTCATACCATAGAGGAAGGCATCTGCTCACCCGTGGCAGCCTAGATAACAGGACAGTGTGTTAGCCCTCATTCTATTTTCTCCTCTTCACCATTATTTCCACAGGGTGCAAAGCAGGGCATATGTATGATAGTGAGAACAGAAGTACTGAAAAATAAATCACCTCATAGACAACACAATCACCTAGATGACTTAGAATACATAAATATGTACAGACAGAGGTTGGTTGAATCCTTGGAATGTTCTTCTGATGGTGCTGATTTGTGTGTGGTTAGTTGTTAAAACCTGGAGCTCCTGCAGGGAGGATGATTGATGCAGGCTTCTATTCAGCCATCCTGCCCCTCATTCCTTGG